AATAAAATAATCCAACACTTCAACGAGAATTTATTAAATTTCAACAGAATCGATCAATAAAACCAATTTCAGTATTACAAAACGGTGTTGATGTTGACTTTTAGAATATGCTAAGCTATTATGGTGGGATCAAGGGGCTGATTTATATGCGGCCGGGGGCGGTGACCCTGCTTTGACCATAGGAGCTAGGGTATAGGAAGGGGTTGGGGGCAGACTGGTCCATTCCATGATTTCCGATGGACGGCGAATGTAGTTTCTGACTAAAGAACATTAGGATAGGGACGATAGGTAAGGTAAGAGTAAGACTAAGATTTTTTTAAGTAGAACGAAGTCGTTTCGAGTCTAGGGAAGAAACATGCTAGGGCGGATCACACCAACGCGGTTCCAATAGCCCAATTGAGGTAGACCAAGCGAACATCAAGCGCCCACTCCGTTGAGCAAGGCCAGTAGCCCTTGAACGAAAGTCCCAACTCCTAGGCTTATAGTCTGAAACATCAAACGTGAAATGCTGCATCCGAGCGCAAGTAGTCGAGCAGCAGAGCCACGCCACCACATCGGACCGCCAGTCGCCAGGGCTCCCAGATCCAACTCATCGAACGTCGTGCGCCCATGCCTGTCCCGTCGTCCGCCGTCTGTTTTTCCAGTAGCTTTTCCCGTTTCTGTCTTTCTTAATTAAATATTTGGTATTTCATTATTGAGTTTTTACAATTCATAAATACGGAGTATGTTTTAGAAAATATGTAGTGTAAAATAGTTTGAATTAAATCTAATGATTGTGTATTATAGAAATTGCTCTAAATACGAGCAAAAACGTTTTGAAATTCCAAAATAGGAGTATTATGTTTTTTATTCCCTAAATAAGAGTAATTTGCCAAGTTTGAAAAAAAATGTCATGTTTTAAAGCCTAGTAATGTCAAACTTGGCAAAAATTTACTCTTATTCAAGGAATAAAAAACATGATAGTCCTATTTTGGAATTTCAAAACTTTTTTTTACTCCTATTTAGGGAATTCTCTCTATGTATTATCGGTATTAAATTATGAATTTGTAATAGTTTGAATTTATTATTTTTGTTTTCGGTAATTAATACTATGGGGAAGAAATTATGAATTTATAATAGTTTTAATCAATTGAAAAATATTTCCCCCGAACTAAAGCACCGATAAGTTGATCCTAGTTTTTCAAATGTTTATGTTCGAGCTACATCTACAGATACAAATGAAAGTGGGAGTGCGAGTAGGATTAGACAATCTATTGGTGATTAAAATGTGGTGACAGATAATGATAGGAGGTAAAAAAAGAGCTAGATTAGACAATGAGCTTGAATTGAGGACAGTGTAATTGGCAATCCGGGATTAAGAAAACCAATACATGATTATGAACTGTCAATTAGGGATGCTATAGGAATAGAATATGTTGTAAATGATTTTTTCCAACATCATTCACATGGTTTGCCACGAACTATGTTTGGAAAGAAAACTAGGTCTTTTTAAAGGGAATGTTTTACAAAATGGGAATGGTTGGAATATAGTGTTTAAAGATGCTCAATTTTGCTTCTTGTGCTATTTGTTTAAAGGAGTTGAAGTTAAAAGATTCGGCAATGAAGTGTTTGTCAAAATAGGTTTTCGTAATTGAAAAAAAGGCCCCAGAAATTTAGAGAGCACGTGGGAAGTATTAACGGCGCAAACAACGATGGTAGAACTTTTTTTTGCTTTTATAGATCAAAGGCTGAGTTTGACAAAGAGTCGCGGTTGGTAAACACAAATTAGAGGTTGCTTATCGTGTTCACCTCACTGCTAGTTTGGATATTGTTCGATTTCTTCTTATGCAAGGACTAGCTTTCTGAGGGCATGATGAACATGAATACTAAACCAACAAAGATGATTATTTAGAATTTCTTGATTAGTATAGTACAATGAATGATGAAGTTTGAAGGTTGTTCACCCATGTTCCTTTTCCTCTGAAACTAGAAAAGTCTTAATAGATGAAGTTGGGGAAAGTATTTTCCCTATTAGTTAGCGAGGCTTGTGAGTCAGCTATAAAAGAGCATATGGCTATTGATGTTACATTTATGAATGATAATGGAGTATTTATGGAATGTTTTCTTGGTGTTATTCATGTTGTTGATATTACTGCTATTTTTAAATGTGTTTTAGACGATTTCTTTGTCAAACATCGTTTGTCAATTTCTAAATTACATGGTCAAGGGTATGATGGTGCATCAAATATGTGTGGTGAATTTAATGGTCTAAAAATTCTCATTTTGAATGAAAATCAATGTGCTAGATACATACATTGTGAGTGATTTCTTTGAATTTTTTATTATGATTACTACATGATTGGAGTTTCTTGCAAAAGAAAAGTCGAGTTTAGACATATACAAGAGGAAATGTTGGTAGAAACAGTGGAAATGTTAGAGAATGGAGAAAAAAAAATCGGAAGATGTTTGAACGAGGAATGCTCCTTAGCTTGGCCAGAAACTACACCGCGTGGTTCTCATTATGGTCTCACAATCTTGAAATATTAGATAAAATGTATGATGATGGTTCTGATTTTAAAAGTAGAGGATTGACATGAAGCTTAAATGAGAAAATGGAGAGTTCTTTTTTTTGTCTCGTTTTTTTCATCAAAAAGATTTCTTGACACTATTAGTTTAGTTAATAATGTGAACAAGCCTCTCTGATCCCACCCAAAAAAAGATGTGAACAAGTTTTGTGAAAAATATGGTATCACGATTATTAATTTGGAAGTCATGCTACGCATATACGGTCAAATTGTGTTGGCGGTGATAAACTAATTATCATTATCTACGATTGAGACAGATTCTCATGTGGTTGCGGTTGGTTTAGTTAAACGAGATGGAGATGCTTATTTGGATACTATATTAGACGACATAAGACTCAGTCTTCTAATGAAGCTAGGATAGAAGACATTCATGGCAGACGATCCGCGAATGTAGTAGCTCATAAGTTAGCTAGGGCTGCTTTTTCTATGTCGGATGGTTTTTACGCGATTTGTACTCCATCTGATAGTATTGTCTCTCAGCTTCACACTGAGAGTTTGAGTTGATTAATGAATTAGTTTCCTTTAAAAAAAAAGTATCTACGATTGAGATGTTATATGAGCTAAAAGGCAAATACTTTAATCTATTAATTTGGATGGTCCTGCTAAACATATTTTTTACTTTAATTTGATAGATCATCCACATAATTAAAAGGTAGATGGACAATCGTTTCACCGAACATTAATTGATTTCTCCAATTTTTGTTAGGCGACGTTAATAGAACTTGAACATTGTATCCAAATGATTCCACAAATCTACCTCGCATTAAGGTGGACCCGATCCCGGTCTCGATTACGATCCCGGTCCAAGTCCATCCCATTAGCACTTTGATTAAATTTGTTATTGTTTCTGTCTTACTAACATTGAAACATGAGAATGTAGCTAGGATAGAAGACATTCATGGCAGACGATCCGCGAATGTAGTAGCTCATAAGTTAGCTAGGATTGCTCTTTCTATGTCGGATGGTTTTTATGCGGTTTGTACTCCGTCTGATAGTATTGTCTCTCAGCTTCACACTGAGAGTTTGAGTTGATTAATGAATTAGTTTTCCTTTCAAAAAAAAAGTATCTACTCATGAGATGTTATATGAGCTAAAAGGCAAATACTTTGATCTATTAATTTGGATGGTCCTGCTAAACATAATTTTTACTTTAATTTTTGTTAGGCGACGTTAATAGAGCTTGAACCTTGTATCCAAATGATTTCACAAATTTACATCGCATTAAGGTGGACCCGATCCCGGTCCGGTCTCGATTGCTGTCCCGGTCAAGGTCCATCCCATTAGCACTTTGATTAAATTTGTTATTGTTTCTGTCTCACTAACATTGAAAATTTGAAACATGAGAAGGTGACACAAACTTCACTATATTCGGGATGAAACATTCTTAATAGGACTTCTCAAAAAGGAAAAAGGGACAATATAAGGGATAATATTAATATTATTATTATTATTATTATTATTATTATTATTATTATTATTAAGTTGATTGATTGCATTATGTGATCATGCCCCTTAAATTATTTTCACCGGGTCGTCCTATAGATATAGGGATTATATAAAAGCACAAAATAATCAAGAAAATGAGACAAAAAATTGATACCTTGAACAAGTTTAAGCAAATCCCAACAAAGACCAACTCACCAACCACCATTTCCATTCCTTAAAAGCCTATAATACTTCTCTCACAATCAAATCAGTAGAAATAGGAGCCAAAAAAGAAGCAGCAAACCCGGCTCTATCAAAATGGGTAGGGCCCTTGTTTAGGATATATCCAGCCAAGAACAGCTAGAGGTTCTGATGACATTGTAGCCAAAGTGACAGAGACCTTTTGCTATTGTGGGTCTCGATATGGATGCTCTCTCTCCCACACCCGGACACAGCCATGTGGATCAAATTATTGGTCCAATAAAATCCAAGTTTGGTACTATTCATCACATATTCACATTAAACGCCCTTTTCTCGCCAAATCAAAATCCACCCACCCTTTCCCCACAAAATTCTCACTTTCTAGGGAGCAGGTTTGGCATTCTACCCCAAGATTAATTTATACGAGTATAAACAAAAGTAAATAAAGTGATACTGGCCACATTTTAGAGTTGCGGATAAAGAGGCACAATGAGGGAAAAAGTTTAAAAAATATTTTAAAAGAGTATTTTTTCTCAGAAATCAGAGCATTTGGAATTAGGCAAACCTTTTCTTGAACCCCTCAACACTTCTAGGAGAGGATAAAAAGACAAGGAAGAAAGTTACCAAACTGATAGAGATGGAAGAATATGATCTCTTATCTCTGGGTTTTTATGTCATCACTGTTTTTTGTGCTAACCCGTTGTTCATCTTGCTTAGTAAATAAAAAAATAAAGCAAAAAGCTTGACGCTTGTGGTCTAGAACTCTAGCCTTGTAGGACCAAAAAGTTTAACCCCTTGTTCAAAATCAATCTTTTATTCCATGTGTGGTTGAAGATGATCACTTCATAAGGATCCAATAAATTTCATAGATTTCCATGAACACAAGCTACAAAAGTACTAAATCAAACCCATGATGCTTAAGCAGAGAGAAAGCTGATGTTTACAACCGATAGAGAAATCCCCACTGCTTAAATAGACATCACAATCACCGGAAACATTACCAAATCAAGAAATAGATAAAATGAAACACATGGGATGTAAAAATCTTTACATTAATCATTTGGGAAGTTACTAGGAATAATTATGCTGGTTTTAAGGTTTAATGATTTACAAAAGACGCTTTACCTTGAAGAAACTGGGTTTAAAGCTTTAGCAAGCCCATTCATGGCTCCATAACTCTTTGAACTGAAACCCAAGCAACCCAGTAAGCCTTGCCGGTAAGGCAGGAATGTCTTCCTCCTCATCTCCTCCGCCTGCGCCCGGTTTGCTGTGTAATGCAACTCGTGAGGTGAAGGCGGCACCCTCCTCTTCCCAGAGCCGGCGGAGTTTCCGTTCACCGGTTTCCTCCTCGCCTCTTTCTCACCTGCCTTTGGTTTCTTAACATCCGAAGCCTCTCCGTTATTGATAGGCGGTGTTTTAACGGCGGTTGCTATTTTCTTCTCCTTTATCGGGGAAGAAAAAGACAAAGCTCTCCAGAACTTTTGGTTACTATTGTTTCTTCCTTCGCTCTTGCTTCTGTACAGAAATTCCTTCAGGAACACCCATCGCTTTGAGCTTCTCCCGATAGAGGAGGACCGCGAGGAGGAACCGGAGTTACACGACGGCGTTTCAATGAAATTACCTTCGTCTTCGCTCTCCTTGGCTTCAACTCCATTTTGCTTCTCGTTCTTCTCATTGCTGGATTTTCCTGCTTCCTCGTCGTTCTCTTCATAACCTTCGTCCCACTGGAACGAAGCGGTTCGGAGCGGAGACATGGATCGGGTCCTCCGGCGCAGAGATCTATTGCGCACCTTCAAATCGCGTCCCCTGCACGCGTCATTCTCATTGCCGTTATCCAAATCCGTCTCCTCGGATTCGTCGAGATCAAGGAGCGGGGCGAGGACTTGGGGGCGCTGGAGGTGGGAGGAGAGCTTCATCGGGCGGATCTGGCCATTGAAGAACAGCTCGTCGGCGGAGCTCATGGCTCCGGCGCAGACGACGCCGTCGGCCGCTAACCGGGCGGAGAAGTCGAACTCAAAGGAGGAACAGGCTGCCGCGGAGCCGTCGGAGTGGTTAGATGCGGCGGAATTCATCGTAGAGCTAGAAAGCACGAAGTGCATGGGACTGGTGGGGGCACTGTAGTAGAAGCCGCAGTGCGGTGGGGGGCGGCCCGGGCTTGACGGAGCGCTGACGTACGGAGTGGAGCAAGTGCTGTCTATGTCGTCGGGAAAGAAGTCGGTTTCCTCCATGTTACGGGTGATATGTTTGGTGCTAGTCGCGGAGGCGGAGGCGGTGGTAGTTGGAGTTTCGAGCTTTTCTTCCATAAATTTCTGTGAAAACTACGGGAGAGAGAAGGGGGAGTGGGTGGTTGAAAGGTGATGATGGCTGCAAAAATAGAGGTGGTGCTGAGGGGACAGGGCGCATTACAGAAATGCCCCCGAACTGCAATTTCTTCTTTATAACCACCCTATCTATGGGGTGTAGCTCAACCCGTTGCGAGGGAGTGGCACAACGATTAAGTCCTTGAATTGAATTCTGACAACTGTGATGAAAGCTTCTTATGCTAAAAAATGCATAAGGCTTCTTCAAGTAGTGGGGACAAAACTTCACTCTCTATCTGTTAGTTTATGGTTATAGTTCAATTTACATCGAACCAACATACTGTCCGGTCGATGTTGAGGCTCATCCCACCAACATACTGTCTGATCGATGTTGGGGGCCCTCACAGATGGTGTGTCATCCTTTTTTCTTTATAACCACCCAAAAATAAAGAAATCAATTTTGTTCACCCCTTCAAGGAGGGTGAACATACCACGCCCTAATTGCTTGCCATGTGGCAACGCAATAGTAATAATATTGCAATTGTTTTAACTTTTTATTTTTTAAACCAAATATTTTTTAAAAAAAATCAAAAATTTAATTTTTTTTACAATCTTTCATATGGTACCCATATTCCATATAAAAAATTAAAAAAAATCCAATTGAAATTGAACATGTAGAAAAAACGATTCTTTTTCAATTTTTTCTATATAATATTGATACCATTGGAAACATTTTAAAAAATTATTAAACCTGATATTTTTTCTGAAAAAGTTGGACAAAAAAATAGAAAAGTTATTGTAATTTAAACAAAAAAAGGAAATGAAATGCCAAATGGCAACAATTGAGCTAAGGGGTGATGTTCACCCTTGATTGAACAAAATTGCACTCAAAAATAAATACTCCTTATTTGTATTCCAAATCGGAAAAAAGGGCAATACTTTGCTGGTTCATATTGTTCATATTCATTAAATGCCTCATATCCAAAATCACATCTTGTTTATATTTATGATGTTTTTACTTACACTCCAATTTTGTGATTTGATCTGCTATAGTCTAGTCTGAATTGATTTGGTCAGGTCTAGTAATGTTTGGTCTCTGTGTATTTTATACGGAGTAATTGTTTTAGTCTGATCTGGTTTGATCTGATCTGACCTGAGATTGAAAAAAGTCCAAGTAAAAACATCATTACTCCCTCTTAGTCCTTGGGATGGATCCGGAAAATTCTTTTATTGGGACATTCTTTATGTATGGATGTATGAAAATATACTACTAGTACTATTTAGATAGAATATTTTAAGGGAAAAATCCCGAAATAGGACTAAAACAGTTTGAAAATTCTAAGAGGAAATTATCATTGACCTCCATTGAGGTTTGATGCATTATCATTATCAATCACACCCCTATACTATCAAAAATATACTCTTACCCCCCCCCCCCCCCCCCCTATCCTTTAATGATGGTTAAATAATGTTTAATCTACATTTAGAGAAAAGTATAGATATAATTTCATTATTGTTCGTTATGTCCGTTTTTAATACTGCAATTTTATTCAATCAAAAATTTGATCGGGTAATTAATAAATTTGTCCATACTAAAGACCTTCTATCGGATGTCGAACAAAATAAAAAAAATGACCAAAACTGACCTCACTCTAGGTGGTTAGTCATATGCCTTTAAATTTGTAAAGTGAGTAAATTTACTCAATTGAAAATGATCAAAATATGCTAACTTTGTCAAAAATAGAATCAAATCGACTTAAATGAACCAAACCGACTCAAAAGTAAAGTTTACTACTCAATTTTACCATTAAAATTTGAATGCAAGAAAGTTCCCAATTTGCACTCTAAACACTCTTTGTTATCACTTGAAATGAGATCATTATAGGTATACTAATAACTTGTAAATTAATATTTGACAAAATATGAACATGTTTACATGTAAAATACTAGTAAAGACATTATAGTTTAGGACGGGTTCCACACCCAAATTGGTTAGTGCTAAATAATTAGGACGGTCTATGATCTTATCTTCGATTGCAATCTCCTAATTGGTCTAGATTCGCTCCCGATATATAATTTGACTTTTTTTAAGTACCTATTTTCAACCTTTAAATGGACTATAACCTATTTTAAAATGTTCTCAATGGTTTTAATGAAAAAATGAACGGGGTCAAAACATGGGCTCTAATCCCGCTCCCAAAAAGTGAGGTATGAGGACTCTTTTTTCACTGGTCTGGTCTCGGTCCCGATCTAAAATCTTAATTTAAAAATCAGTCATTCCCGAGATCAGGCCTTGTCCTCCCCTAATATGAACCAAAAAAGTAAGAGCCTGATTACTAACAGAGATATTTTCCAGTTTTCAAGAAAACTGGAAAACTAGAACACAAAAAACAGGTTACGTGTTTACCAAAGAAAATTGTTGGAAAACTAGAGAAAGGAAAACAGAAAAACGTGTTTACCAAACCGTTTTCCAATATAGGTAACAATAGTCTCCTAAAAGTCCTTCATCAACATCTGTTTTAGGTATAAAATAACATTCTTCGTTATTGGGCATCTTTCCTTCGTTAGAAAAGTTTCACCAAGATTTCTACAATCTCATATATATATTTGAACTTTTAAAAGTAATAGAGATTTATTGTTTTAAGTTTGTACCTTTCGATTGTGTCTGCTACTAGTTCTATAATTTTACTCACATTTGATGTAGTTATGTACCTAATAAATTTGTCAATATTAATGTAGGGGTGCACTAGGACGGGACCAGACCGGGCTTCAGGCCGGGACTGGGCGGGCTTCGAGACGGAACTGTGTCGGAACGGGCCAAATTTTGTTTTTTGGAATTCTTGACCTTTAGGCCCGGACCAGGCGGTCCCCTAAAATCATATTCCGGTACCACCTGCTTCTTCATCAGGCTCAGGTCCCATGCTTGGTCCCGGTCAACTGGTTTGGGTCGAGTCTGCACAATAACGGGTCGGGTCGGGTCGGGTCATGGGTCGGACTGATCCGTCCCAGTCCACCCCTATAATAAGGGCTATTTCATCGGAAAGCACGTGTTCTTGCAAAAAAGAACTTTCTAGTGAAAAGATTCTTAACACATGCAAATTTATTAATTATCATATTAAATATGCGAGTAAATTTATAAATCTTAATTTATACTTTTTCTAAATGTAATTAAGAGTTATTAAACTTTCATTAAACTATTAAAGGATAAGGAAGGGGTAAGCTTATATTTTTAATAGTGTAGGGGTCTATAATACGTGAAACCTCGAAGGAGGTCAATGATAATGTCTCGACAGTTTCAAGACTATCCCTGCTTTTTTTCCTCCATTGACATCCTTCAACAAACTTTTACATGTGCTTCCATCCCATCAATTCTTGCCAAACTTCTTCGCTTCCACAAATGAGATTAGGCCCAAAATTAAGTCGAGCACCTAAACAATATCATGTATTTTAGAGTATGTTTTTAAATATATTACTCCCTCCGTCCCAAAATAAATGTCATGTTTTCCCAAAATGGATGTCCCAAAATAATTGTCCTACTTTGAAACTTTCTTTATTTGGTAAACAAATCTATACAAAACAATGTCAAACAGTGCCAAACAGTGTCGCTACAGTGTCAAACAGTGTCGCTACAGTGTGAAGTCGACTTCATTTTCTTAATTTGTGTGAAGGTCAAAATAGGACAATTATTTCAGGACGGAGGAAGTACTTTTTGGTAACAAGTACGAAGTATTCAAAATAGTTTTTGAATATATGAACTTTTAAAATTAAATTGTTATGTCTAAGTATGATTAGACCATATTAAATTAGTTCAATTAAAAATATGTTTGAGCAAAGAGGCATGAACTAGTATGAACCACTATTATTTACTTAAAGAAAATAAAGAAAACTTTTAACACGATAAAAAGAACAAATTACAAAGTCTAGTAACATGAAAGTACTAAACTTAATATCTTAATCTGCTTTCACTTTTTTCATCACAGAAAAAACACTTAGGTCCCGTTTGGTAACACTGAAATCGGCTGAATCGGTTGATTCTGCTGAAATTTATGAAGGTATGGCTGAAGTGGTTGTATTGGCTGATATTGCTGATTTATAAATAAAGCCTCTATTGGGCTAAGAACATTCGAATATATTAGCTAAGTATGTAACTTTGGCTCTATGAACTCCCTCTAGCCGACGAACGTCTGGCTGACGGAGGTCTGGCAGATGAAGGTCTAGGAGACGAACGTCTGGCTGACGGAGGTGTGGCAGACGAATGTCTGGGAGACAAATGTCTGGCCGACAAAGGTGTGGCAGACGAAGGTCCAGGGATGAGCGTCTTGCTGACGGAGGTAGTGCTGAAGGCCGTACGTCCCCGAGGGACTGGTATGTGTTGAAGGTCGTACGTCCCCGGGGTCTTTCATATGCTGAAGGTCGTACGTCCCCGGGGGACCGTTATGTGCTGAAGTTCGTACGTCCCTGGGGTCTTCATGTACCGAAGGCCATACATCCCCAGGGGACCGTTATGTGCTGAAGGCCGTATGTCCCGAGGGTCTTCATGTGTCGGAGCCCGTATGTCCCCGGGGTCTTGTTTGCTGTGTTTGGACCACTTGAGTCTGTTGGGCTTGTTTGTAGTAGTGGAAGTATGTGGGTCATGGGGTCTGTACTCATATACTCTATCAGGAGTTCCCCACACTCTTAGCCGAGATGTTGACGAAGTGAAAGGGAGTAGATCCTTGTTGTCTTGATCCTTTTGGCCTTCAGAGGATTACCTAGGAGTTCTGGCGTTTCTGGCCAAGGCGGTGCCACAACTGAGGTGTCAGGAACGTGCTTCATTTTGAGGCCGAGGCGGTGCCATAACTGTTTGGCTGCCTTTTGTCCTTCATTTTTTTGCCTTGAAGCTTTTGGCCGACTGTGGGTGACCTGGGAGCTCTGGCGCTCCTGGGCGAGGCAGCACCATCTGGTGGCTGATGCTTGTTGTTGCTTCCTGGGCCGTCGCAGATCCCTCGTTCCTATATATGGACGAGAGATGTGCCTCGTATTGAGGATGATGTGCATGTCATGTTCCTTGTGCGTTGTGTCGAGGATGATGTGTGTCCTTTGTTTTGAGGACGA